AAGACGCCTTACACAAAGGGGTTTGAAAGAAGACCGACAGCCTCACTCAACAGTCTGGTCCCGGTTAGCGTGAACTTATCACTTCTATTAAACAAAGCTCACCATGAAAGATGTGAGACTGAAAGCTCAAGCACATGGTTGCACTAAAGGGATGGCTAGTTATGACATTATGAAAAGTTCTTCCAGCACGGTGGAAAAATGTTTTCAGCGAGGACTGTTTATTTTTTGTTGATTTGAGTGATAAACACTCAAATGTGTTTAAAGATTCTGGAAGTCCCAAACTCCAGAAGCACACCGCATGGTTACGTGAATTCCAACCCTTAAATAAGGTTAAGGAAATAGAGCACTTTCTGGCGTGGTTTTGAAGCAGCCTTGCAATACGAGGAAGTGGTGGCGGTCGTGTCTGACCACAGATACATGAGATCCGGCTTTGCCTTCCTAACGGATGGTATGGAGACACAAGGGATTTTGCTGGCCTTGACTTCCAAGACTGTTTACTCGATAGTTCTGCGGCGAGAGCATTCATTCGAGGAGCATGTCTCCGTTGATGGCCAATCAATCAACTCTTGCTTGGGAAAAATGCAGCCAGAGTTTGTGGGCCACGAGGGCACATGTGGGTTCCACTGCTCCAAAATATGGAGCCGTGTGACGGCAAAACAAATAGTGAAGTCGTCATTTACAGGAATATGTTTTTCAATATCTCTTTGCAACGTATTTGTAAAATGAAAGCCCTTCACTTCAGCTGTTTCTGGTTTTATATGGCAATGTTGAAATAAATAAGTAATAGTGAGTCTTGCGCTTTCAATTAGATAGGGTGTTTTAGCAATTTATCATGGATTATACTTATAAATTCACGAGTGATCGTTGATGTTGAGCAGACCTGCAATATGTTAACAAGATGTTAGAGAAATTCCAAGTCCAGTGTACTATCAGACTACGTCTCAGTCTGGAAGCCTAATTTTTGACTCTCGTCCTGGCCGGCCTCTCACTACTGCAGGTGTTGCTGGGTTTCCTTTTGCCGAGGGAGTTTCTGGTTTCAGGAAATAAGGCCTGTTGGTTAATGTTAGAACTGGGAGAACATGTTGGAAGGTGCTTGTGTCCAACCAGGGGGTGTACATGTAGTCTGCAACAGAAAGTGATATGACACTCAACATCAACATTGTCTTCTTGTTCCTGACCATCAGCGTGATAACTTTTTCTCTTCTGTTTTGGTCAGAGACAGATATCCCCCTATGGATGTACGTTTGACTTTATTTCCCGTGAATATACATTCTTTGCACATACATTGTTTGGATTCGGATCTTTCTTTGGTTTAGTCAAACCACAAATGTGCTATGCATGGCTGATGATATGGTACTTTCCCAGATGCTGAGCTGCACGATGATATCATGTACTCTTGCACTTATTGTTATGTTTTCCTTGGTCTTTGAGGCGCACTTTGGTTTCTGGCTTTTGTTTCACAAACTTTTCTCATTCCTGTGCGACAGAGTTAACAGCTAGGCAGCCAAAACAAACTCGACTGTGGTTTTATACAGTAGTATCAGTCTCAAATCAACTCCAGGTGAAATCCCACACTTCAACCTACCTGAACTTTGCTGAAGTACTTGCCGTTCCAGCCTAAACACACTGTATTGCTTGCTACTTTGCTCAGTGTCATTACTTTAAGTGGTATGTGAACGGCACGGTTCAGCAGAAATACGTATTCTAACCATATTAACATTGTACTGTTGGTAACAACTTAATGACCCCCCCATCACTCCACCCACCAAAACACAGCGTTAACTTGTCAAACTTAACTATTCTGTTAGTCACGAGGGGATAAAATATCACATAAATATTCTAATACAATTTTTATTGGGTTCAGTAGAGGGCAGCAGTGAGTTGCTGATGGTGTTTCAATTTATCAACTTCAAAAATTTAGAGCGTTATGACTTTTGCACTTTGTGTGAGGACCGTATTACTGTAGGGTTAGGTATGAAACAGCCGTATGCAAACGTCTCTACGTATATGCATACATGAAATTAATCAACATTTGTTTCTTTGTTCCCTCCCATTCATTGCATTCAGGGTCATATTTTTTAATTTAAGTAGTTGAAATGAATGGCTGCTCTGCATTTTAATCTTTGCATATGCACAGTAACAGTAACCAGCAGCAGGTTTTGTTTAATTTCTTATTTCTCTTTTTAAAAATGCATCTCACTTCTC